TACTCGCACTTCTTAACCGGTGTAAATATTTTACTATCGGTTCATCCACTTCCTGCTTCATTGCCATAAACTTGGTCCTTTCTGCAATCACCAGTCTTTTCTTTGGCCTCATGTTTCCCTTAATAACCTGACTTATTTCTTCGAAAGTCATTTCTTCTAGTTCTCGAGAGTAAACCATTGTAGCAACCTTCATAATCGCTTCACAACCAGCGGTAGCCATAAACAAGTCGGTGATTTCATTTTCCCCTCCTCTGTTTTTGTTGTCTTTCAACTTTTTACATCTTGCATTAGCAGCAAAGCAACGAATCCACGTATCTACGTATTCTGGGTCTTCAAGGACCAAAGAGTATCCTATCGGCGATGCCATTGTCGTGTCGTGTATCTTGCTAAGTAAGTGTTTCGACCTCCGTTCTAGTTGGTGTCCGTTTATCATACGAGCTACCTGCTCATATGCAAATTATACTAATTTGCATCTCACTACACATACAAAGGTTGGTAATGCACGATAATACTTAGAACAAGAAAACACATAAGATTCCCCAGTAGCACGTAGAAGTAGTAGTCAAATGCTAGAAGTGAGTCAAGTGAATTCCATAAAGAATCCTCAACTGCTGACCAACATACAGTATATACTACTGTATTTATGTGAATGGAGACATACCCATTATCATTCATAGGTATGATACAACAAAATTTGTATCTTTTTATATATATATATATATATATATATATATATATATATATATATATATATAGAAAAGGTTTTTCTATTTTTGTCTGTAAATTTCCTCAATACTGTTCTTGATATTTAAAAATATATATTGTCACATATCATGTGTGTAAAAAATAGGATATAGAATCCCAACAAAGTTTTTAAGAAATTTGACAAATGGAGATATATATATATATATATATAAAAACAGGACGTGTGTGTGTGTGTGTGTGTGTAATGAATGTACAGCTGCAATTTTCGACGGATTTGCACCAAAATTTACATGTACATGCTCCAAGTTAGTGGGAAGGCCAAGACTGACTTAGCATTTCCCAACTCCCATCGATAGTGGAAATAATCGATTTTTTCATGCTTCTATGGCAGTTTTCATGTAGTTTGCAGCCATTTTCTACTGGCCAGAGTGAGAGCCTATAGCTGGCTGCCATGAATAGGCAGGAAGATTCTATTTGCCAGTATGAGAGCCAACAGCAGGCTGACACAAATGTTAACTAGCATGATTAAAAAAAAAAAAAAAAAAAAAAAAATCGATAGCTGCATTCGTCACAAGTGTGAAAAATTTAAATCTGCATGACACTTTACTCCAATTGGCTCATTCGCTTGCTTAAATTCAACGTTGATTCTGATTCCACAGAACTGGGTTGGGTGTGAAAAAGTATTTGTTGTTAACATTCTTTTTTCATTCAATTTTTCCAGTTACGAGTTCTTTTTTAAAGCTGATCGTTTTGTCTTCATTTTGTTTAGTTCTTTTTTCGTAACATATTTAATGTTTAGTATAGAGCTTAGAAAAAATTCACAGTGTGAGATAGGCAAGATGTAAGGCATGTAGCAACATCAGCACGGCAAAGGGCACACCTTTAAAGGCAAGGAAGGGCAAAAATATTTTAAGTCAAGTGATAGCGATTGCTGTACAAGTCGTACGATTTTTTTTAATCACGCACAGGCAATGCTGCTAGTATATATATATATATATATATATATATATATATATATATATTAGTTGTGGTACAAAGCTGAAAGTAAGGACCACCTAATGAGGATCAAAGTCACTTCTCAGTCGTAATTTATCTAGCAAGGCAAGCTTGCTAACCATTACACCACGTCAATGTCCCCAATCAGTGGTAACTCCTGATGAGTGGGCAGGGCAATTACAAAATGTCCATCTACAAAACTCTGGAGTTGAGTTAGTGAATATAATGGCAATCATCTCAGTGACAAATTTCACATTTGTATTACTGTCTAGATTAAAGAATTTTGAATAACCATAATGATGTTCATGTGTTTAATTTTATTTTTTAAATTTACATCTGATTTAAATAACAATAAAAGACAATAATTAATTAAGAGTGGGAAGTGAAGCTTGAAGATATAAACAAGTGATACATTTTATCTACAGAATTAACTAAGAATAAACCAATATCTATTTATAAAAAAAATCCACAAAACTCAACACAAGAAACAAGTTTAGACAACAGTCATGATTGTTATCTTTTCTAAAACAGACTTACTGAAGTTTGCCAATTCCAATCATTGTAAACACCCCACCTAAAATTAAATAAATATGAAGGTTGTGCCAAAAGTAATGCTTTCTATTTTATGATATTGGCCCACAATGTTAGGGGTGAATGTTTTTGGTATGGCAGTAGAAGTTGAACCTTCTTGCCAATAACCCATTTGTTTATTAAAGATAGCTGCAAGAGGCAATCTGGCAAAATGGGGTCTGATATGAAAATGTATACAAAACAAAAGGTGTGTCATTGAATTACTCTATGCGGAAAACATTGCATCCATTAACATTTACTGATTCCTACTGAACATTTATAGAGCCCAAACAGTTGATATGAGGACAGTTAGGTGGTGTGTAATGTATTTCAGCACAGACAAATGCAATATGCAACTAGTCATGTTCCATTAGAGCAGTTTGATTTTCCATTTTTTTCTTTAAAAAAAAAAAAAAAAAAAAAAAAAAAATCAACATTACACTTGGTGTGAAAGCTGGGGCTTGATATGATAAGTACTGATAGAAAGAATTAGATTCATAGTTTTACCAATTTTTGAGCAATTAATTTTAAAGACTGTTGAAAAAAAATGTATAGAAATACCTAATTTCCCCTAGGTATTTGCTGACAAAGTGACATCAAAATTTTACTATTTCAAGAATAAATGAAGTTGATATCTTTTGCATTAGATACATTGAATGTAAAATATATCCAAACCAGAATTCTTACTATGAATCATCACGATCAAAATATGCAATTTTTTTTTTTTTTTTAATTGTATTCAGTAAGTAAAAAATGTATAAAAAAAATTGTAAAAGATTACAAAAAAAGCTACTCAATGAATAAAATTTGTTAGAACATAATAAAACCAAAAAAATAGATAAAAGTGTATCTAACATCCTAATACTGATGGGCACAAATTATACAACAAAATGTTTTAAATTTGCATTATTGAAAATTCTTACTAAAATTACTGTGTTGTATGACATCACAAAATAATATATATAATATAAATTGTTAAGTATAATTTCCCTTTGAACTAAATGAAGGTCTTATTTGATGGCACAATTATTTAATAATAATGTGCTTGTGCCATGCATCTTGTTCATATACAATTTGTAAAGCTTCAGTAAGTTATAAATGTTATAAGGCTGTGCTATAAGATTTTCACTGATCACTGGAATTAAATTCTAATGCTATGATTTTGAACCTAAACTTAATCTTTCAACTCATCTCCTCAAAAAATGGTAACAATTTGGCAAAGAATATTTTGTGTCTTTATTTATCATGTCAAACCCCAACTTTCAAATTTTTTTTTTTTTTTAATCATTTCACCACAACAAAGGCAGGAATGCCACTAGAACACAGGAAGTTACAGAGAGTGAAGGAGAGAGAAAGACTGGGTATAGAGGGGACCAAGGAAAGGATAAAAGCTGAATGGGGGTTCAAGAAGATAGCTACAATCTTTAAAAATTTAAATGCAACTATCAGGGAAGCAATGAAATGGAAAGGGAGTCGGGAGTAGAAGTGGTGGTTACATTTACCTAATTCAAGAGTAAAAGGGTGGAATCTAGATGCCAATCTAGTAGCATGCTTAAACACACAGTCTGGGCACCAGAATAGCACATTTCCAAAATTGACCTACCCTAATGTTCCATATGGCCCTACACCGCTGTCAATCCATGAAAATAGCAGTGGCAAAAATGCATACCTAATGATGGTAACAATGTCAGAAGTTAGTATTTTGGTGTTTAAAATTTGTTCTATTCAACAACATTATTGTGCTCTCTGTAACTGTCTCTGTTTCCATAGAGATAAATAGGAGGCAATTTTTTTTTTAAACTGTCCTTCATGAATAAAAATATTCTTAAAAATTATAAATAATATGTAAACAGATTAAGTTGAAATTTATCTATAATTTCAATTTAAAAAAAAAAATAAAATAAAATAAACATTCTTCTGCATGTGTGAATGAAATACAGACTTTTATGTTTTAGTAGATATACAAATTTTAATTAACTTGCAATCTCACCCTAGTACTCATATTATACTAAAGAAATATTCATCCTAACTAAATGTAAATTTAAACAATAATATCTAATAAATTATACAAATTTACTACAGACTGGGGTAGACAGCACAGCAGTTATGTGGTCAGTTAAGCAGAGGTTACGAAAGTGTAGAATTTCTGAAGATTATTATTGCACATTCCAGAAAATTTTCACACTAGAGCAAAGAACCAGTTTTCTTTACAAAGTTATATACCTATAAAACTAAATCATTGTAAATAGCAAATTATTTGGCCAAGGGCACACATGTACACAGAAAATAAATAGTAATAATAATAAAAAAATTAAAAAGCGATGTATCTGATAAAAATGTTTCAATCCTTTTTCTAAGAATTAAATTGACTTTTATGCAATAATTGCACTTGGAAATTAAAATAACTAAACAATTTTAAATGAAACATTAGCAATTTTCTAATAAAATAATGTACACAGAAGTATAAAAACTATAAATAGTAAAGAAAATATGTAAAACAAGAAATAAAAAAAGATGTGTTGTTAACAAAAATTTAAAAAAAGAAAAAAAAAAAGTTGTTTTTTTTTAATTAAAAGAAACCATAGAATCAGAATATTAAACAAAATTAATGAAAATCAGAAAGAAAGGAGGGGATCCCAACACAAGTAAAATGCAACAAGCATTTATATATGTAAAATATCCCCATTTTATGAATTATATATAGAAAGCAAGTATAATAAAAGGCTTACCTTTGATCTTGTATTGCTAACTTTCTCCCGTCTGTCAGCGTCTTAAAGAATAAAATGAAAAATATGATTGATAAATACAGTATCCAATAGTGCTGTTTCTCTTGCCCAAACAGGTTGGTGCTTGCATTTTTTTACCTACCCTACCTCAGAACAGAGCTGTACTAGGCACCATATAACATTGAATGAAGCCTGCCTCACAAAAAGAAGATAACCTACATTACTTGTCTGGCTACAAACCATTGAGCAGTCCTTTATTCATTTGGGTTAGTAAAACAGTAAATTCCTACTCAAAATCTATCTTCTGATTTTTAATATTACAAACTAAGAAATTAAGATTTTTAATCAAGTTAATTAAATTAACTGAAACTCCTCAAAATTAGTAGCTAATGAAAAAAAACAAAAAAACATGGTGATCATTGTGAAAAAAGAAAATTAAATTACTGAATCCTTTTAAGTATACTTTTATAAACAAGCTACCTTTTTTAGAAATTAAATTTTCACATCAATTAATTTCACTATAGACAAGATGAATTTTAAGTCAATTCTATTATAAAAGTAATTTTAGATGCATATACAAATATAGTACAAACACAATGCTTTAAAAATCATTATAATTAATATAAAAAATAGTTTTCATTAATGTTTGCATTTTAATTTTAATACTTCTGAGCTATTTTAAAATCTATTACTTTTCATCAAAATCACCTGTTCACCTCTGCAAGCATTTATACGTTAAACAAAATTAGCAATTTCTTAAAATAGCTAAATTATACAAGCAGTTGTTTTCCTGTTAAAATCTTCAAATTTCTGTCAGAAAGAAACAGAAGTTTGTAGTGTTTCTCAATAAGTACCATCTGAACATATGATTTTGTTTCACACATGACTGAAATTTATGACATATACACAGACTGAAAGTTGATACTTCAACATTTTTTCTATATGATTTGTGTGTGGACTATGAATTTTAAATAATTTTATGTTAAAAGTGAAAAGCTAATAAAATGAGATGCATTTTCATGATTTGTTGCTATTTTATTTCTGGGAAAGAAAAAAAACGCTGTACAAACAACAAAAAAGATGTGTACCATTTATGAAAATGGTGCCATAGCTGAAAGTAGTTTGGTTCAGAAGTGGAAATTTTGATCTGAAAGACCGAGAACATTCCTGCAGGCCTGCAGTCATTGTTGATCAAATTGAAACACTGATTAAAATTAATCCAGGTCACATGACATCACATAGACACTTCACATATATCTCATATTAGCATTGTAAGGTTAATTGAAAAGGCTTGGATATATGAATCAATACAGTGTTGGGACCTCATGATCTAGTGTAAAAAAAAAAAAAAATTTTCATGGACTACATTTTCATCTAGAATTCTCTGCTCAGATGCAACAAAAATGGTCTATTTTTGAAAATAACAATCTTAGACAATGAAAAATTGTTTACAATAATGTGAAACAAAAAGGGTCCTGGGGAAAATTTAATAAGTCACTGTCAACCAATTTAAAAAGACAGTCTACTATCCAAAGGAAGTAATGATGTGTAGCTAATGGGATTAGAAGGGCATAGTGTATTATGAACTCCTTCTGCAAAATAAGACAAGTATTGTTCTCAGTTGGATCAATTAAAAGGCAGCAATTAATAAAAAGCACTTGCAATTGATGAATTAGAAGGGTGTTGTCTTCTATCAGAACAATGCCAGACCTTACATCTTCTTGCAAACTCTGCACAAATTGGTACAGCTTGGCTGAGATTTCCTACTACACCTACTCCACTCCCCAGACCTTGCACCTTCAGATTACCATGCAATTTGATCTCCACAAAAATGTCTTAATGGGAAAAATTTAAATTCTCTGGAAATCTGTAAAAACCACTTAGACCAATTCATCACACAGGATGCCAAGTGCTGGAAGGATGGAATCATGAAGTTGAAGCAAAAAAAAATGTTGCATATGTGTTTGAATAAATGTATGTACAAATATCTAAATATTGTCTTTGAAATTCACTTAAAAGATGCTACAAACTTGTTTCAACCAAAGAGAATCTGTAATTTTTTAATTCTATCACATTAAAAAAAAAAAAAAAAAAATTAAATTACATATTGGGTGTATTTGCACTGCAATTCATCTGAAAACTAAAAGTTTTGTTTATTTTATTCTTAATTTTTCTATGGTTTGAACCATTTCTTATTTCCAGAACGAATAAGAATATAAACTGTCCAATGTCTTAGTCCTTCAACTTCATAAGCCATTATCAAAGAATTTTTTGTGGATTGCTAGGATTTGATTTCTAAGGAGATTTATAATATAAATTATTCAATGTCTGCAGGTATGCATTTTGCTTCATTGGTGTTTTTTGAGTGGCACAACACATAAAAAACTTTGACAATACACATTGATGTTTGTTAGAAGACACAATACTTGAAATACTTTGACAATACCCAGTGATATGAAGACAATACTTGAAAATGACTAAAGAAATAGAGTATCACAAAATTCTAGTAGATATATTTTCAATTTGAAACATTAAAATTACAATGGAAAAGTTAATCAAGAAAGGAATGATAAAAAGCCATGAAATATACTTGATGCTTTCACATACACCATCAAGTTCAATAATCTGGATACATTTAACAATAAACTTGAGAAACAATGTATCAAGTTTAACAAAGAAAAACAATACTTTTCAGTAGGTACCTCCAAAGAAACATTAAACAGTACAAAAATAAATTTCTCAGAATTTATTAAATTAAATAAGGGGAAGAGGTAACAGATGTAAAAATAAATGTTTTTACCCAACTTTTCTAAAAGGAATATCTCTAAAATAATTTAGTTCATTTTTGAATAAGTCCTGAAAGCTCCATTAAAAGCCAACAATTTTGCAAGAACTTTCAAATCAATGTGTTTTTCTCCAGAAAAAAAAAAAAAAAAAAATGCCAAATTTTCCTATACTAATTTTTGGTGTCCCCCGAAGAATAAGATTCTTAACAAAAATTTCAAACATTTTAAAAAAAGATCAAAAATGTAATTTAATAATAAAAATCCCTTGGTTTTTCCTCTTAATAATAAACATTTTGATAAGACTTTGTTTTTTTTTAAATTGAGGCATTTTTTCATCATGGTATGCTCATTTTTTAAGAAATCTTTGTTAAGTACCTACTTTCAGCATCTACTCCTACGTGGCTCAAACATCTTGTTCTACATTCTAATAAAATTGTTTGGTTTTTATATTTGAGTCTAACAAATCAAAGGCAAAAATATTAATGCAATGAAATTTTTACATTTTTCTATAAAAAGCATTTTTTCCAAAATGAAACATCATATCAACAGAAGATATTATGTTAATTACAATTATATCTAATTCTGTAAGAATAAAATTAAATACTAAATGAATTATGCCAAAGTATGTCTTAGTCAAATTACTACCTATAGAATTACAACCTTTAAAAGAAATAAAAAGTAATTTAAGATTATTATAAAACATTTGGACTAATTTTTTTTTTTCATAAAAAAAAAAAATTACTAAATATTATGCATTTTGTTGCAAGATGGTTTACCTAAAGAGTTTTATGGCTCTGTTGTTGTTGCCTATAACAAATTCATAGACCCAAAAATGGCCTACCAAAATGAAGGATGAATTTCCATACAAATGACTAATAAATTGTTTTGCAAAAAGGAAGAAAAAAAGGTCCTGACTCCTTATAAATAATTACAAACTGAACTTAAATCATGTTGCACAAAGATAAAATGAACTGTTGAGAACATGTTTTATGAAAAATCAAGTATATGAGAGAAAACAAACTTTGGGGGAAATTTTCACCTATTTAGAAAATTTACCTGGGTATATAATTGTGGTGGTATGCAAATGAGGTTGTATTTAAGTGGGAAGAGTTCTACACTCAGGGTAGTTATCATTCTTTGACTACACTGTGCACTGTGAGAATGAATACACAACACAACATCACCAAGAGAATATCTAACCTCGTTAGAGGATACTGAATTGGTTGAAACCTGAATGAAATGTTTCACAGGATTGACGAGAAATACTGAAATTTATGAAGTGAAGATGCAAAGATAACAGTAGAGAAAGGGTGAAAATAAATGGAATAACTCTACTAATGCAAGTGGATACGGGTAGTGATGTAATGTTAATAGCCAAGAATTTGGGGGAGAAAATGCAAAGACCAAAAATAAGGAGGACCAATCTACAATTGAAACAATTTAACAGTTATTAAAACACTTGGATCTTTTGAGGGGATGTTTGAGACTAAGACTTGATTCAAGGTAATACCAGTCATAGTTGCGGAGTGCATAAAAGATCATGGGTATATTAAGAATAGACACCTCAAAGCTAATTAATTGCATGAAATTAGAAGAACCCGAGATTAGACTTTTAAAGGATTATGAGGCAAGTGTTCAGCTCAAAGAGATTAGCCAACCAGTATATTTTCAGTTTTGTAAAATTCCGGTTCACTTTCTGCCTGTGGTTATGGTGAAACTTAAAATGAATGAACAAGGAATATTGGAGAAGGTCAGCCAGGGAGGTAGCAATTGGGCTTTTTCAATTGTGGCCATGTGCAAACAAATAGAGATTTAAGAATTTGTGGTAACTACAAAGTTGGTGTAAATCACCAGATATGTTCAGACTCTTTCCCATTGCCAAATATTGAAACAGCCTGTCATGAGTTTGCTGGCATGAAATTTTTTGCCAAGATTGATCTGGAATCTGCATATAATCAGATTAAAATTGATAAACATTTTCAAGAAGTCACCACAATAAACACTCCTATAGACCTTCTAAGGTGGACTCGTCTGCCCCTTTGGAATTAAAACATCCAACTACATATTCCAAAAGGCTATTGAAAAAATTTTGGAAGGAGTAAAAAAAACATCATTGTCTATCAAGATGACATAGGTATTGGTGCTTGTGCTGAGGAGAAACTAAAGAATAAAATGAAACAGATTCTGAGCAGATTGAGCAATGCCAGTATGACAATTAATCAAGATAAGTGTGACTTTAATTGCCAGGAAATTTCATA